CCATCATGCATGTCGTCTTTATTTACGTCTTTACCAGCATAGAACCCGCATCCGAGATACTTTGTCGTAGCTACGTGCGGGTTTCGGGGTTTTTGCGTGAAAGCGTGTTTTTTTCTGAGGCCTGAGATTTTCTTTCAGAGCCATCACAATTGCTGAGACTGACCGCGTCACAGCAAGGTCGCGCGTGCAGTAAACAAATCGGTCAAAGTGAGTTGCGTGTTTTGCACGAGTGGAAAGTCCTGATGCTCGGCTACCGGTACTTCGTTTACCGGGACGTCAGGTAAGAGGCCCGACGGTGGAGGTACCGATATTTCTCTCGGTCTCCCCTGCTGTTCGGAGGGCATCCTCACAGTCTGTTTTTTCAGGCGGTGTTTTTACCAGATTTTACCGGCTTCAGCGAGGCTGTGCCCCTGGAGGCTTTCTTCCTATGGGGCCCGTTGCGGGTCTCTTTGTGGACCCTTCCTCGCACAGCGCCGGGTTTGCCTCCGAGTTGAGGGCTTTGGTCGAAGGACTGTCGGGGCAATTGCGTCCCTGGCAGGCCGATTAGATCAAACGCAGTCGGAGCAAGCTGTCTCCACTGTGTCCCCTCGGTGGGCAACAGGAAGAGACATGAAAGCATGTCTGCATTCAAACACGTCTTATCCGGGAAACCCCCCGTTCCCAGTCACAGCTCTCCAACTATTTTGGGGGGGAGGCCGAGGCTCAGGCTAATTGCACCAGGCCTCCTCTGGAGCCTCGGGCACTGAATGCCAACGAGGTGCTGGCAGCCAAGCCTCCGATCTCGGGGCAGGGCTTTCAGGGTGGAGCACACGTTGACCCCCACTTTCAGCCAGCTAGGGCTCGTCACGCAGTAACGGTACAATGGTAACGAATTTATCCTTGTGTTCGTCTCCGCTGTGGGTTTTTGACTCCTTTCTTATCGACCCACGGGCGTCCCCAGAGGGAACCGACCCTGCCACGAGATGCACAGTCAAACACGCTCCCTCTCACATATTTAAAGTGAAAAATTACGCAGTTCGCTCGCGTTGGATACAACCGGTACTCCGGGCGGTCCCTCAGAGTCTTCCATCTGTATGACTCGGTGAGCTACGCTTTTGGGGTAAGGCGTATCATCGATCCCAGTGATACGATATAGATACCCCCACCCTTGATCCTAAAGCGACCACCTAAGGTTGCTTCAACGCTTATGGGATCACAGGCGTCGGGATCCAAAGCAACCCCGTCGACACATCTCTCCCTGTCCGTCTGAGTGCGAAGTGGGGCGCAGAGCACGCAAACGGTGTTGATGGGCGGCGTTGGTCAGCCGCGGAGGATGTAATGCTTAAGGCCCCCGGGTGGGGATAACATTGGGCAACACATCCCACTGGACCAAACGCTACCCGGTCGGTGTGGTTTCTGGATCAGACCCCATAGCATGGGATGAGACCAAAACGCCCCCAACCGGATTCCAAGGCTCCTTCCCCAGACCCCGGTACCACGAATTTGGCAAACCAGGCAAAGGGGGATAGCCGCGTTCCATGGGTGTCCATGGGAGGCAGAACGCACCAGCCTCCTAGACCAGGCGACATTTTTACTGGTGGGCCACCGCACATCTACATGCAACACCCTCTAGTGTCGCCTGGCTCTCTTGGCCGGGGCCACTACTGTGCTACGAGACGCGGCCTTAGACGCACATGTTTTCACCGACAAGCTGAGCCGGGGTACGTCCCCACCTCAGTGACGTAGACTGGACATCCTCCACCCTCTTTATTCAGGGAATGGTGGGTACAGTCTGGAGCTACGAATCCGCTTGCCAGTTGGTCCTGCCATGGGCAAACGGAGGGCACCCCAAGCACAGAAAACGCAGTGCCCTAGGGCGTCGTCCGCTACCCAGAGTCAGCCAGGAGGCAAGCGCTTATACCCTTCCATGGGAGGGAAGGGTAGTGGCACGCCCCAGGGAGGTAAGAGCCAGGTGGTGGCTCCTCACCCTCTCTGGGCGTCTACCCGGCAGCAGGGGAAGCATGTTTGACGCTCACCTCTGCAACCGGGGGGGGGGGGGGGGAGACAGGCACGTGTTCGGTGAGTGGCCAGGTCAGAACTTAGTGACTACTTCAGGCCTTGGGGAACTCGCCTCATGGGAGAGGGGAGCACCCCCCCTCGCAACGGCCGAACACATGGCCACACATTCCTGTCGTACAGATTGCGCCGATGTAGTCCGGTTTGGAGACAGCGGGTGACCGATCCCTGGACCTTTCCAGGTGGTGACATCCTGTTACGGGATACCGCTGAAATCTCCATTTCCCCCCGTCAGTGTCTTCCCTGTTGGGCACTGCCAGGGGACTCAATCAGACGGGAAGTAGCAGTTTGCTGGGAAGGATGCCATACACAGGATACATCAGCCGGAACTAAGTCCAAATGTGTTCGTAGTACCAAATCTACAAGTGGCAGGCGTCCAGTTCTGGACCTAGGCAGACTGAATCAGTACGTGCTCCTCGATCGGTTCCACATGGAGACACCATTCAGGGTTCTTCTCTCCATCCACCGTTTTGACTGGCTAGCCCCACTAGACTTAAGCGGGGCCTATCTGCACATACCGATGCACCCAGCAAGTTGCCATTTTCTTCAAATTGCCCAGCTGGGCCAAGTATTC